GCATCTATGGTTGATGCTTTTATCTAATTCTATTTCTACACTATTGTGACTCCAAAGCTCGGTTGCAGTTTGAGCAAAGGCATATTCCTAATTTGTGACTTCTGTCACTTTTAATGGCTGTAACATTATTCTGATTCTAATATTATAGCTGATCTATCAAAAGGATAACATTGTAGGGTACTATTTTAACTCTTATGTGGAAATGTGTTTATGAACAACAAAGGAAGTCAAATTCTACTCTTTTACTACTATTTAACATCTACTAAAACGCTACAATACTTATACTTTATCATTTTCAAAGTTTTTGTCTGTCAGATGTCTGAATACTTAACATGTATATTGCATTTGTCACAGTTGTGGTTCTGGTTGTAGCAATAGCATCGGCAATAGACGTTTTCATTGGCTGGTTCTTGTTCTGCAAATCGCTGTGTCCAATAGATCATCCAGACCGTCCTCCTGGAAAAACGACCATAGAGGTCGATTCTACAGTTCCCAAACACGACTCTATTTTACGTATGCGACTCCTAGTGGTTTGTATTGAAAAGCTGGGAGCACACGTGTGACGCATGACGTTTCCTTACGTACGTCCATCAAGTGGTAAACAAGGAAGTTGTTGTTTCTACGGAGGTAAATACATTTGTACCGTTACCTAAATGTTTCGTTATAGCATATTTTAAGAACAGATTATATATTTACCAGAAACAATAACCCTAACCCTAACCCTAACCCTAACCCTAACCCTAACCCTAACCCTAACCCTAACCCTAACCCTAACTATTGTGAGTGTTGGAGACTGTTAGGAGGATAGAACAGGATGGCGGCTGGTGTGTGCATTGTAATGCGCATTGCGCAATATGACACTTGCGCAGATGAATTGTTTGCAGTTCTGACAGAATGTGATGCTGTTTGTAAACGCGTCCCTGGGTTTGCTGCGTCGCGTGACCATACACTGAAAAATAACGACCATTTAGGCCGCAGCGAAGCGAAGCTGCCCAACCAGGCAAAAAAAACGCCCAAATAGACCGATTTCAGAGTTGTGACAATCGACCCATATTGTCGTTTGTGTATCGACCCATATTGTCGTTTGTGTATGAGGACGTGTAGAGATCATCAGATGTCCAGAAGCTAGGGACAAACAAAAACAAAAGAAAGAATCATGAGTATCTCTCTCATTTAGCACTCATCAATGTATGATTTTAAAAATATAAACATCACTCCCCAGTTTTCTCTCAGGTCCTCAGGTCCTCAGGGTCCCCTGAGGGTGAGTCTCAGTCGTCATCAGGTCAGGTCATCTTGGACATCAGTAGGGTCCAAGCCATAGTTTTGGTCTCTCCAGTTGGACATCAGATCTCCAGATACAGTCTTTTCACTTGAAGCACATCAGGTCATTTGCGATGCACTTCTGGTCAATGGTGCAGTGTCTCAGTTCCTGTACACAGCTTGTTATGCAATAGTTACTCTCTATGGTTAAGACATTTTGATTCTACTTTAAAGACAATTTCTATTCATGCTGTTGCTTCTGTCCCTCAGACAAAAGCAAGCGCAATTTACTTCTCTAATTTGTATTTTTATCAGATCTAATCCTAATCAATGTAATTACTTCACACAGTACAAAATCAACAAATCAAAAGTGTCAGGACAGAGGTCAATTATGTCCATGACAATATAGAATTCAAATGAACATTTCTGGTCTCAAAAAATACTGATTCAACTAAAGATTCAAGTGATAGACAATTAAAAATATGTGTTTACATTGGAGTAAACCTTTAAAATGCTTTTTTTCTCATGTTCTGCTTTTTCATGTATCTATATGTAAATGTGAGTGTATGTATGTATGTATGTATGTGTGTGTGTGTATATGAATTTTGGGGTTGTGTCTCAAGACTCCTCGAACCACCTGTAGGTGTCAAAGGTCACACTGTGGTGATGCAAACCAACTGGACACACTCTCAACTCTCATTCAGGTCTCTACCTGACGCTCCACCCATCACTGCCTCCAGATACCTCTCTCATGGCCCCGGTCTCACTCACACCCACTCAGCTCTGCAGTGGCGTGGGGAGGGGCAAGGAGGTGGCATTTTCCTTTGCTCTTAGCTCTGTGACCTGTGGCTGGGTGGGCTTTGCGCTGTCCAGTGTCCAGCAGTGACCCTGTACAGTGTGTGCTCTTGGTTCTGGAAAACAACCTTATAGTCAAATTAAAAACAACAGAGATTGTGAATGAGATTGTTTTTCTCTCTGAAGTCTAAACAATTTTGAAGCGCTCTGGGTTTTCCCAAGCGCTATGTAAATAAAAGATTACTTATTATCTTACTAATGATGACACTTTTTAAAACCAGAAACTCTTTCTTAATAAAAAAACAAGACTCAAATCTCAAAAAACCTTTTCAAACTTTAAAAAATGTATTCTATTTTGTACTTCTGTACTGTGTGATGTTTTTAATCTTGGCTTGCTTGGGTTTCTTGAAATGCGCCATAAAATAGAATGAATTATTATTATTACTCAAATCGCAACTAAAACTGTATGAAAAATCTCTGTAAAAATGAATTTTGAAAAACATTAAAACAAAACTTGAAAACATGAAGTCAAAGCAAAAAGATTAACTAAACTGGATTAATCACTTTATGGAATTTCCCTTTTACACTTGAACATTTATAGCATATATTCTAATTTAAAATAATTGCTGCATTCTTCAAATGCACTCAATAAACTTTTAAAAACATTTTGAATTGGAAGACACTATCAAACTCTGCTCGCCCTGCAGTGAGCAGCAGCTGCAAGGCCAGAGCTATAGACAAAACAAAACTCACAAAACTCGCAGCTTTTAGACTGTAAATTGGGTCACAGTTTAACTTAATAATAATACTTTTACAGCTATCCTGTTCTATTCCTAATCCCTCTTTTCTTTTTTACACAAACTCTATAAATCAATCATTCTAATCACTTTTAACACAGATTCTAATTTAAATGTTTGAAAAACGGCTTTTGTAACTAAAATAAAAACATAAAAACAAACACAACTCACAAAAAGTTAAGAAATAAGCAGCAGATTTAAAAAGAATGGAATCTAGAAATATGTTAGATCTAAAAAGAATTGCACAGCTTTAGCACTAATCTTTGGGTTTCAAAAACATACTAATTCAAAACTTATTCACTAATGGTGTTTAAAAACGTTTAACTGTGTCATAACACAATGTTCAAATGGCATATTTCGCAAATTTAACGGAATAACAACTATGAAAAGCCAAATTCCTAAAGCAGTAGCTCCCCTTTAAATCAGAGCAGCAGCTCAGCAGCAGCGAGGGCGGGGGGGTTCCTTTCACACAGACGTGCACACACAGGCAGAAAGACACAGAAGAAGAACTTTCAAGATTAATTTTTTAAGCAAATATAACTTATGTTGTTCTTTATACTTTTGTCATCCAAGTCTAGAATTGATCACTTTCCACACTAGTAACAAAAGGCACTCTTTTCTTTAACGTTTACGCTTCTATTTTATCGAGGTAGCAAACTAATTTAAACTCAAAATCTCTTTCTAAAAAACAAAAACAACTGTTGGATACAGCCCTCTCATAGCTCAACTGTAGATAAAACTCGGCAAAAAATGTAAATAACTCACGAAAGCTCTCATAGCTCAACTTTAGATAAAACTCTGCATTCTCCGGTGAACTCTGTTCACTCCAAAAAACAAAAACTCCCTTTTTCTGTATGTAATTTAAACCGTGATCACTGAAATATTGTTGATTCTTTACTTTTGTCATTTATCAGCCTGAAATTCGTCAATTTCAAAGCTTTTGTAACAAAGGCCTCCTTAACACGTTTCCCTTTTTAAAAATTGCTTTTACTTTTATACCATGGTTTCTCTCAAAGGGACTTTAACCCTGAAGCTTCTTCTCAAAGGGACTTTAACCCCGAGACTTTTCTCAAAGGGACTTTAACCCCGAGACTTTCTCAAAGGGACTTTAACCCCGAGGCTCAAAGGGACTTTAACCCCGAGGCTCAAAGGGACTTTAACCCCGAGACTTTCTCAAAGGGACTTTAACCCCGAGGCTCAAAGGGACTTTAACCCCGAGACTTTCTCAAAGGGACTTTAACCCCGAGACTTCTTCAAAATACAATTTAGAGAGTTTGACAGACCCCAAAAAACAGACCAAAATTTATCTAATATCCAATTATGCAGACTTTACATATTAAAAAAGGTGTCTGCTTACCTTATTCTTGTCAAACCGGTTCCAAGGACTGTCCGAGAGGTCTGCCAACCTCTTTTCCGCGTCGGAATATTCAATTTAAAAAACAAAACAGAGAAAGTGAGGGAGCAAGAGCAAGCCCATCCAAAAGCGAGCCCTTTCAGCGTCCGCTGGGATTTCTCCCCTTCCAGATAACGTGCTGTCGCTCCCACACGCCGAAAAAAAGAAACAGAGGAAATTCTCTCAAAACAATCCAGAGAATGGCACAAACCGAGCCGCGCATTCTCCACCAAATCTGTCAGGATTTAGCAGACAGAGACGGATCGTGGTGTGCCAAACTCTGGAAGTTTATTTAAGTTTCTCTCAAGTTCCACTGGTTTACTCTGTTTCTTTCCCTCAGACAGAATAAAGGCAGTACACAGTTTATATAGTCATTGTCACGTCACACATCGAAAGACATACGTGTCACAAAGAGACAGTCACATCATAGTCATAACATGGAGTCCTTGTAGAGTCCTTGTAGAGTCCTGCACGTAGGCCATATTGCTATCTAATACTAATAGGCTGATATACAGTCCAGTTAAAAGTGACAGTAATCCTGTTGTGGCACAACCTGTTAAAATCCGCTTAATCCATCAGTTGTTACGAATAAAAACAGTAATAAAAGCTTAGTTTAAAAAATAAATCCAAAAAGTGTGCAGTTCAAAAAAGGCTCCAAACAAATGCGTCCGCCATCTTGCACATGCGCAGATCATGTTAGGACCATGGTCCTCACATGGTCCTAACATGGTCCTAACAGGGTCCTAACATGGTCCTCACATGGTCCCAACAAGGTCCCAACAGGGTCCTAACATGGTCCTCACATGGTCCCAACAGGGTCCCGACAGGGTCCTAACATGGTCCCAACAGGGTCCCAACATGGTCCCAACAGGGTCCCGAGAGGGTCCTAACAGGGTCCCGACAGGGTCCCAACAGGGTCCTAACAGGGTCCTAACATGGTCCTAACAGGGTCCTAACACGGTCCTAACAGGGTCCTAACATGGTCCTAACATGGTCCCAACAGGGTCCTTACATGGTCCCAACAGGGTCCTAACAGGGTCCCAACATGGTCCCAACAGGGTCCTAACAGGGTCCTAACATGGTCCCAACAGGGTCCCAACAGGGTCCTAACATGGTCCTCACATGGTCCCAACAGGGTTCTGACAGGGTCCCAATAGGGTCCTAACAGGGTCCTAACACGGTCCTAACAGGGTCCTAACACGGTCCTAACAGGGTCCTAACAGAGAGCTCTGAGAATTATCAATGACTCTTCTGGCCACCCTGGGAAGGCCATGTTCCAGCTTCTTCCCTCTGGCAGAAGATATCGTTCACTGAGATGCAGGACATCTCGTTACGCTAACAGTTTTTTTTCCCACAGGCTGTTATCAGTGTGAACAGAGCACTTTAAATGATCTTGCACTTGTTAGGCCCGAGCCCCGAAGGTGGTAAGGGCCTATTGCTTTCACAATGGTGAAAACAAATGGTGGCGGTGAGTGACGGACGCGTCAGCGCCCGTCACGCACCAAAACGTGACAGTTGCCTGCGTAAACTCAAACACTTTAAAATGATGTATCAGGTGCCATTGAAACCTATATTGTTTTTGCTCGAGACGTTAAACAAAAAATTCCTTTTTTATTTATTTCTTTCTTTCTTTCTTTTTTCTTCTGCACTTTGAGCCTTAATTTGACCCCCTGAACATGCATGAAAAGTTGTTAATTTTGGCCCAAAAATCAGACCTGGCGAAAAATTTGATATTTTGGTGTTTATTTTTATGGGACTCAAAAAATGACAGAACAGCGCCACCTACAACAGCCAAAATAATACCCCTATGGGACTTTTCGGAGGTCAAGTTTGTTGTAGAGCCATGAAATTTGGTACACATGTTCCTCAAATCAAGACAATCCGTCATCATTAAAGGGCCCTAATCTGTCATCATTAAAGGGCCCTAATCTGTAACAGTAGTTCAAAGATATCTGAATTTCTAAATTAGTTTAGAATAACTGACTCATAGGGACCTGTGGATACTGACTCACAGGGACCTGCAGTTACTGACTCACAGGGACCTGTAGATACTGTCTCACAGGGACCTGCAGATACTGACTCACAGGGACATACTGACTCACAGGGACCTGCAGATATTGACTCACAGGGACCTGTAGATACTGACTCACAGGGACCTGCAGATATTGACTCACAGGGACCTGTAGATACTGACTCACAGGGACCTGCGGTTACTGACTCACAGGGACCTGCAGATATTGACTCACAGGGACCTGTAGATACTGACTCACAGGGACCTGCAGATACTGACTCACAGGGACCTGCAGATACTGACTCACAGGGACCTGCGGTTACTGACTCACAGGGACCTGCAGATACTGACTCACAGGTACCTGCGGGTACTGACTCACAGGGACATACTGACTCACAGGGACCTGCAGGTACTGACTCACAGGGACCTGCAGACACTGACTCACAGGGACATGCAGGTACTGACTCACAGGGACATACTGACTTACAGGGACCTGCAGATACTGACTTACAGGGACATACTGACTCACAGGGACCTGCAGGTACTGACTCACAGGGACCTGCAGACACTGACTCACAGGGACCTGCAGGTACTGACTCGCAGTGACATACTGACTCACAGGGACCTGCAAACACTGACTCACAGGGACTTGCAGGTACTGACTCACAGGGACCAGCTTCTGACATGGGTGGTTATGGTTATATTTATTGTTTATATCATTTGAATGGTTCAGTGTAACTTATCACACAATCTTTGAAATATGAATATTCATAATCTGTCTTTTTCAGTTTTCTGAACTGCGCTATACAGATAAACTTGCCTTGGGTTTAGGCGGATGTAAAGTGCTCTTTGGCAAGACACTCCCCCCACATCAGAATGAGTCTGGTCAGAGGGACTGATGACAGTCTTCCCCAGGGCAGCTGTGGCTGCAGTAGTGGTTTACCACCACTGTATGAATGAATAATGTTTATTCAAAATCAAAGTATTATTATTAAAGTGATAGACTTTTAAATTGGGTTATATTAGTTTGAAAGTTACGGACCTCAGCTTTAATGCTCACTTCACTGTTCCCAGATTAATATCAAACAGTCTTATTATAATCCAGACAACAACACGACTGTGTTGGGGCCTGCTCTGACTAACTTCAATCCAATTGTAATCCAATAGTAATCCAAAAGTAATCCAATAGTAATCCAAAAGAAATCCAAAAGTACTCTAGTTACCCCAGTCTGGCCCTGCACACAGCCTCCGCTCTGATTGGATTATATAATCAGATTATATGATCAGATTACCTCCATCTTTTCAACCCCAGCTGCATAATCACACACTTAACAATAGATAATGGAGCTGGGAACAGAAAGGCAGTTCTCAGAGTGTCCAGCAGGTGGCGCTGTTGCAAAGTGAAACTGAGGGAGAGTGTTCAAACTAAAATGGATTCCACATGTTTGAAGAAGTTTCTGTCACGATTCAGGAGCAGACGCTCCTATTTAACGTTGAAAGACTTTGAATTAACCTCATGTTTTTAGACCTGTGTCTTTATTTACTGTGTTTTTAAGTGGAATAATGTATGATGTACGCATCACCGGAAAAGAAGTACCTTCAGGGCGGGGCGCGTCAGGGGCCGCTCAGGGGCCGCTCAGGGGCCACTCGGGGTCTGTTCTGGATCCGCCCGGGGCCCGCTCGGGGGTAGCTCAGGGGCAGTTTGGGGTCTGTTCTGGGTCCGCTCGGGGTCTGCTCTGGATCCGCTCGGGGTCTGCTCTGGATCCGCTCGGGGTCCGCTTGGGGGCGGCTCGGGGTCTGCTCTGGATCCGCCCGGGGCCCGCTCGGGGGTAGCTCATCTGTTCTGGGTCCGCTCGGGGTCTGCTCTGGATCCGCTCGGGGTCTGCTCTGGATCCGCTCGGGGTCCGCTCGGGGGCAGTTTGGGGGCGGCTCGGGGTCTGTTCTGGATCCGCTCGGGGTCTGCTCTGGATCCGCTCGGGGTCCGCTCGGGGGTAGCTCAGGGGCAGTTTGGGTCTGTTCTGAGTCCGCTCGGGGTCTGCTCTGGATCCGCTCGGGGTCCGCTCGGGGGCAGTTTGGGGGCGGCTCGGGGTCTGTTCTGGATCCGCTCGGGGTCTGCTCTGGATCCGCTCGGGGTCCGCTCGGGGGCGGCTTGGGGTCTGTTCTGGGTCAGCTCGGGGTCCCTGTCTGTACACTGTAAAAAAGAAAAAGTTAGTTCAACTAAAAATTTCAAAGCAACCAGCTGCGAAGGATTTTTGAGTTGAAGGCATTAACTTAATTCTTTACGTTTTGAAGAACTACAATCATTAAGTTGTGTCAGCTAAGTTTTCCAAGTTCAAGTTACTGGAAATTTCAAGTCTGTAAAAACTTACTTTTTAAAGTTCAGATTACTGTCCCCTACAATAACTTACTATTTTGAGTTTAAATTAGCCCCCACATTAAACTATCATGATGTTTATTTATATAGTGCATTTTACAGACCAAGGTCACTTGGGCAGGGGAAACCTGAGCACCCCTATGCAGACACAGAGAACATGCAAATTCCACTCAGAAAGGCACTGTTCCAACCAGGACTCGAACCCAGGACCTTCGTGTCAAGAAGCTAAAGTGCTATCCACTCAGCCACCGTGCCGCACACATTGTGAACCCGAATAGCAGGGAAAACTAAAGTTTCTGAGACTGACCCAGGGAATATATATAGTGCTACTTTGGCTTGGCCCTGTCGATTACGGTTGGTAAAAATAAATACAATGATCTTTTTGGTCAAATTAGTTTTTTCAAAATATTGAATGCAGCTGGTTGCCATGACAAATATTTAAATGAGCAAACGCAGATAAGTTGACCTCACTCTAGCTCGATGAACTGTAAAAACGACAATTCAAAATTGTTCACCTTACTAAGATTTTTGCATTCACAGACAATAAAATTACCAGTTGGAACTGGAACTGTCTGTTGTGAGCCACTTGAACTCACTTTCAGAAGTTCACTATAACTTCAAAGTAAAATCAACTTAATAAATCAAATAAGATGAACTTTTCATCAGAAACTTCTGAAAGTGAGTTAAAGAGGCTCACAACAGACAGTTGCAGTTGCAACTGGCAATTTTATTGTCTGTGATTGCAAAAATCTTAGTAAGGTGAACAATTTTGAGTTGTATTTTTTACAGTGTACTTATTTTCCGATAATGACCTGCAGTACATTTTCCGCTTTTTATACAGCTTTGTACAAACTGAACACGCAAAGGGTGGGGCGACAGTTTGAGCCAGAAGGTCGAGGGTTCGAGCCCACCTCAAGACTTTCTCATTCGACTCCCTCTGTCTACTGTCGTTGTGTCCTTGGGCCAGACACTTAACCTCTGAACAGCAGGTGCCACGGTGGGGCGGCTGTAAAGTGCCAAACTGTGGTTGTGTCCTTAGGCAAGACACTTCCCCCACATTAGAATGAGTCTGGTGTGTGTGTGAATGGTTGGTGGTGGTGGGAGGGGCCGATGGCACAGACTGGTTGCCTCGTTTCTGTCAGTGTGCCCCAGGGCAGCTGTGGCTACAGTAGTTTATCACCACCGTGTTTGGAGAGAGAGGATAATGACATGTGAAGCGTCTTTGAGTGTCCGAAAAGCGCTATATAAAACTGATGCATTATTATTATTATTATTATTATTAAAATAAACTTCAGTCACTTTTATGAATGTCAAAATGTTTATTTAATGACTGAAAATAAAATAGTTCCCAAAGGTTTTCCCGTGGCTATGCTAGTAACAGTTAGGCTAACCACAGTTACAGTAAGCTAGTAAAAGTTAGGCTAGTAACAGCTTGGCTAGTAACAGTTAGGCTAGTAACAGCTTGGCTAGTAACAGCTATGCTAGTAACAGCTAGCCTGGCTAAATTACTTCGAAACTAGTTCTGTTTGATCAGTTTTCATGTAGTTCCAGAGAGTTCCTCAGCGGTGACTGACCCAAATATAAACTTAACCTAAATCAAGGCAAGGCAAGTTTATTTGTATAGCACAATTCATACACAAGGCAACTCAAAGTGCTGAACAAAACAAGAAAGAATTAAAATCATAAATAATCACAGAACATTAAAAAGAAAGATAAAAATATAAAATCCCTCAGTTGTAGCACAACTAAATAGAACTGTCTTTAACCTGGTTTTAAACATTGTCAGAGAGGAGGCCTGTCTCACATCTTCAGGAAGACTGTTCCAGATTTTAGCAGCATGAATCTGAAAAGCAGCCTCCCCATGTTTAGTTCTGACTCTGGGCACTAACAGGAGTCCAGTCCCTGTGCTCCTCAGAGTCCCAGCAGGAGTCCAGTCCCTGTGCTCCTCAGAGTCCCAGCAGGAGTCCAGTCCCTGTGCTCCTCAGAGTCCCAGCAGGAGTCCAGTCCCTGTGCTCCTCAGAGTCCCAGCAGGAGTCCAGTCCCTGTGCTCCTCAGAGTCCCAGCAGGAGGCCAGTCCCTGTGCTCCTCAGAGTCCCAGCAGGAGTCCAGTCCCTGTGCTCCTCAGAGTCCCAGCAGGAGTCCAGTCCCTGTGCTCCTCAGAGTCCCAGCAGGAGTCCAGTCCCTGTGCTCCTCAGAGTCCCAGCAGGAGTCCAGTCCCTGTGCTCCTCAGAGTCCCAGCAGGAGTCCAGTCCCTGTGCTCCTCAGAGTCCCAGCAGGAGGCCAGTCCCTGTGCTCCTCAGAGTCCCAGCAGGAGTCCAGTCCCTGTGCTCCTCATAGTCCCAGCAGGAGTCCAGTCCCTGTGCTCCTCAGAGTCCCAGCAGGAGGCCAGTCCCTGTGCTCCTCAGAGTCCCAGCAGGAGTCCAGTCCCTGTGCTCCTCAGAGTCCCAGCAGGAGGCCAGTCCCTGTGCTCCTCAGAGTCCCAGCAGGAGTCCAGTCCCTGTGCTCCTCAGAGTCCCAGCAGGAGGCCAGTCCCTGTGCTCCTCAGAGTCCCAGCAGGAGTCCAGTCCCTGTGCTCCTCAGAGTCCCAGCAGGAGTCCAGTCCCTGTGCTCCTCAGAGTCCCAGCAGGAGTCCAGTCCCTGTGCTCCTCAGAGTCCCAGCAGGAGTCCAGTCCCTGTGCTCCTCAGAGTCCCAGCAGGAGTCCAGTCCCTGTGCTCCTCAGAGTCCGGGCTGGTTCATATGGGACTAACATGTCACTAATATATTTTGGTGTGAGGCCATGGAGAGACTTGTAACAAGCAAAGCTGTTTTAAAGTCTATTCTCTGAGCCACAGGAAGCCAGTGCAGAGACCTGAGGACTGGACTAATATGGTCGTACTTCCTGGTTCTAGTCAGGACTAATGTGGTCGTACTTCCTGGTTCTAGTCAGGACTAATGTGGTCGTACTTCCTGGTTCTAGTCAGGACTAATGTGGTCGTACTTCCTGGTTCTAGTCAGGACTAATATGGTCGTACTTCCTGGTTCTAGTCAGGACTAATGTGGTCGTACTTCCTGGTTCTAGTCAGGACTAATATGGTCGTACTTCCTGGTTCTAGTCAGGACTAATGTGGTCGTACTTCCTGGTTCTAGTCAGGACTAATGTGGTCGTACTTCCTGGTTCTAGTCAGGACTAATGTGGTCGTACTTCCTGGTTCTAGTCAGGACAAATGTGGTCGTACTTCCTGGTTCTAGTCAGGACTAATGTGGTCGTACTTCCTGGTTCTAGTCAGGACTAATATGGTCGTACTTCCTGGTTCTAGTCAGGACTAATATGGTCGTACTTCCTGGTTCTAGTCAGGACTCGAGCTGCTGCATTTTGAATGTACTGCAGCTGTTTTACAGCCTGTTTGGACAGACCTGTGAGCAGGCCATTGCAGTAGTCTAACCTACTGGAGACAAATGCATGGATAAGAATCTCCAAGTCTGCTTTAGACACTATGTTTTTGATCCTGGCAATGTTTTTTAGATGGTAAAAAGCTGCTGATGTTACTGATTTGATGTGGCTATTAAAATTTAAGTCTGAGTCCAGTATTACCCCTAGATTTCTGACCTTGTTTGAAGGTTTTAGGGAGAGAGACTGTAGGTGACAGATGACGCTCTCTCTTTGTTTCTGGGGACCAAAGACAATCATTTCAGTTTTGTCTGCGTTTAGCTGAAGGAAGTTGTTTTGCATCCACTCACTGATCTGTTGGATACAGTGAAGGAGTGAGTCCACTGGCCCATGTTCTCCTGCAGTCAGTGAGACATAGATCTGAGTGTCGTCTGCATAGTTGTGATAGGACACTTTGTTTCTGCGTATTAACTGACCTAACGGCAGCATGTAGAGATTGAACAGAAGAGGTCCCAGGATCGACCCCTGTGGGACGCCACAGGTCAGGGCCATATGATCTGAGACACAGTTTCCAATCTCCACAAAGTACTTCCTGTCTTCAAGGTAAGACCTAAACCAACTTAGGGCGGTGCCAGCGACGCCAACCCAGTCCTCTAGTCTCTGTAAGAGGATCTCATGGTCGACGGTGTCAAAGGCAGCACTTAGATCTAACAAGATTAAGATTGAGACTTTGCCTGCGTCAGTGTTCAGCCGGATATCGTTTGTAACCTTAACGAGAGCAGTCTCAGTGCTGTGGTGGGGTCTAAAGCCGGACTGAAACATATCAAATGAGTTGTTGATTATAAGAAATCTAGTAAGCTGTAGGTAGACAACTTTCTCAAGGGCTTTCCCCATAAATGGCAGATTTGAGATGGGACGATAGTTGTTAAGTACCGTAGCATCCAGACTGCTCTTTTTAAGCAGGGGCCTGATGACTGCAGTTTTCAGGGCCTTTGGGAATATTCCAGAATCAAGGGACATGTTTACTATCTGTGTGAGTGAAGGTAACAGACTTCAGAAATCTAGTGGGTAGTACATCCAGGCTGCATGTGGAGGAGCTCAAACTGGAGATTATCTCTTGGACATTTTTATCATTTACAGGTGCAAAGTGAGTTAGCTCAGAGAGCCTTTCTGGCTGTTGGATGGTTATCTGTGGATTGGAGACAATGGCGTTTTTGATGCCTTGAACCTTGTCATTGAAAAAATTAGCAAACTCATTACATTTACGTTTGGAAGTAAGCTCTAATGGCATTTGAACAGGGGGGTTTGTTAATCTATTAACTGTTGAGAACAGAACACGCAGATTGTTGCTGCAGCCTTCAATCATTTCATAAAAATACCTTTCTCTCGTACTACATAGCACCCGGTTAAACTCGCACA